GGGGGGGGGGCCGAGGGAGAGAGAATCTCAAGCAGACTCCCCACTGAGTACAGAGCCTGATGCGGGGCTCGATCTCAAGAGCCTGAGGTCATGACCTGAGCCGAAATCAAGAGGCAGATGCTTAACCGACTGAGCCACCCAGGTGCCCCCACATCTGTATTTACTGAGCCTACTGCTGTACAAGAGGCGGAATGCAACAGGGTTCAAAAATAAAAACTGCCTTCTGCCTTAGACTCTAGTTGGGGACACAAGTTTAGTCAAGTAAATGCTTTGATGAATTTGTAACTATGAAAGAGCTCTAAAGATGAGGGTGGAAGGCTGGTCAGGGAAAGTGATCCTAAAAATATGAGCTTGAGCGGAGACAGGAAGGAAGGAGGAAAAGAGCTTACCCAGGCAAAGAGGGTGAGTGGGGAGGGGGTGGTGGAGAGAGCTTCCAGACAGGAACAGTATGTGCCAAGGCCTGTGGTCGGAGCGTGATGCCATCAAGAAATTGCAAGGTCAGTGTGTCTGAGGAGCACAAAGCAGAGAGGAGGAGCGGAGGGAGGAAGCTGGTGGGGTAGGCAGGGCCAGGCTAGATTTAGTACTTGTAGACCATGCCCGTGAAGAAGCTCGATTTTTGTCCTAGGAGCAGAGAGAAGGCGTTAAGAGTTTTGCAAGTGATCAGATTTGTGTTTTTCCAAGTTCACGGTGGCTACCTTGAGGAGAACTGTGGAGGGAACAAGAGATCCATGGATTTGGGGAAGAGGAGAAGGAGCAGTTCCTTTGCTGTACGACCCATGGAGGGTGGTGGTGGCCTGGTGGAGGGCGGCAGAAGAGATTAGTCAATTCATCCGAGAAATAATTTTAGCTGTAAAACTGACAAAACTTGGTGACTGACAGGACGAGGGGAGGGGAAATAAGAGGACTTCTGTATTATGGTTGTAATAAAGAATCAAAACGATCTTTCTGAAAATGAAGCTTTTCAGAATTACAAGTTTATATAGGAAAATTCAACAAAAATGTAAAATGTTGAATTAGCACCAGAAGGCAGGCTGGCAAATCCCTGGGCTGTTTTGAGACCAGACAAAGACATCGGGACTTTGGGTCACTTGCTGGTCTCACCTCTACTAGGAATGTTCTGGAATCTTAAAGTTTTGCCACGGGCCTCTTTTGAACAGACTGCTGCTATAGCTCTCTCAACCCGTCCCCAAATCAATTTGCTCAGTCCCTCTTCAACAGTAATAGAATTTGGGGAAGGACCTCTGGCTGCCCCAAATAAAGACTGTGTTTCCTTATGGCCCTTGCAGTTGGAGTGGACAGACGACAAAGCTCTGTATAATGCATATAAGGCTCCTGGGAACCTTGCTCTCTTCTCTGTCCCTTTCTCTCTCCTGCTGCCTGGAATGCAGATGCCACCTGCTTGGACCCCAGGATTGAGGCCACAAAGGACAAAGCCACAAGCTGGTAGGAGCTTGGGTTCCTTACCCTGTGGGGTGCTATCCCAGCCCTGGACCGCCCACCTGGCCTTCACATGTAAGAAAAATACATGCAAGAAAACGGAGGGACTCTAACCCATTTAGAAGCTGTGAAGACATTTTCATTCATATATATCTGTTTTAATTGACAACAGCCAAAATCAGATTTTAAATTGATGAAACAGCTCTCTCCTGGAAGTGAGCTTCGTCGTA